AGACTGATTAAATATGATAAAAGCCTTTTTTAAAGACGACGTGGGTCAGGAGAAACTTAATCAGAATTACTTCAAGTGCAGTGTTGCTATTTTACTATTTATACTGTTAGATTTTAGCCTTGTGATATTAAAAATAGATGCAGTGGTTCGTTAGCTCGCCGAGCTGGTTGTTCTATGGTGTGCAGACATTTTGTTACCCTTCTAGGCATCATCATCATCAGTGCGACCTCTAATGGAAGCGGTGGTGTTCTGTTCCTTCCGGATTTATATGATCCTCTGGTGTGATGGTCTTGTTGCTTCCGGTTCTGTTGTTTTAACAGCAGTCCGTCTATGGGGTCTATTTCTGTGTGTTTGTTAACGGAGTCCAGTGTTGAGAACCAGGCTTCCAGAAAGTCCCTTGCATGTATAGTGTTCGCTTGTCCCAGTCAAACTGATGGCCCTCATTGTCAGTGTGTATTGAGACAAGTGAATATTGGTCATGTCTTTTTACTGCCAGCTGGTGTTCGTGTATCCTGATCGTCAGTTTCTTCCCTGTTTGTCCAATGTTTATTGCAGTCACTGCATTGTATTCTGTATATCACGTTAAGTCTTGTTTACTGTTAGTACAGGGTCTTTAGTCTTTGATAACATTTGGCGCAGTGTTGCTGTAGGTTTGTGTGCAATCGTGATCTTATGTGGTCTTAGGAGTCTGGCAGTCATTTCCGATATAGGTTTGATGTAGGGAAGCATTGCTAATGTCTTCTGTTGTTTCGTGTCCTCTGACTGTCATTTGTTTTGTAGGCATCTGGAGGATGAAACTTCTTGGGTATCCATTGGCGGTTAAAACTTTGTGCAGGTGTTCCCCTTCCATTCTCTGGAGTTCCGGGGTGTTGCAGTGTGATGTGGCTCTTTAATGGCAAATTCCAGACCCAAGTATACAGGAAGGCCACAAACACGGAACAAATCCTTAACTTCAATAGCAACCAACCCACCATACACAAACAGAGCTGCATCAAAACACTATTTAAATGAGCCGCATCAGACTGCAACACCCCAGAACTCCGGAGAACGGAAGAGGAACACCTGCACAAAGTTTTCACCGACAACGGATATCCAAGAAGTTTTGTCCGCAGATGCCTACAAAACAAACGACAGTCAGAGGACATGGTACAACAGAAGAAGCTAGCAACGCTATCCTACATAAAAAAAATCATAAATGACTACCAGACTCCTAAGACCGCATAAGATCACGATTGTGCACAAAACTACAGCAACACTGCGCCAAATGTTATCAAAGACTAAAGACCCCATACTGACAGCAAACAAGAGATACAGATTAGAATGCAGCGAGTGCAATAAACATTACGTTGACAAACATGGAGGAAACGGATGACCAGGATAGACGAACACCAGCTGGCAGTAAAAAGACACGACCAGTATTCACTTGTCTCAATACACAGACAATGAGGGCCATCAGTTTGACTGGGACAAGCAAACACCAGACATGCAAGGGACTTTCTGGAAGCCTGGTTCTCAACACGGGACTCCATTAACAAACACATAGAAATAGACCCCGTATACAAACTGCTGCCATGACAACAGAACCAGAAGCGACAAGACCATCACACCAGAGGATCATATAAATCCAGAAGGAAGCAGAGCACAAACGCTTCAATTAGAGGTTGCACTGATGATGTTGCCTAGAAGGGTAACGAAATGTCTGCACACCACAGAAAACTGGCTTGGCGACCTAACAAACAACTACATCCACAACCTGAGCTACAAATTTTCGCTGAGACCTTAAAATATTAAAAATAGAATTACTGTGATTAGGATAGCAACCACTTATTAATTGAGAAAACTGGAGTCATGGGTAAGAAAGTAAATAACAGTAGACTACATCAGGCAGATAAGGTTCCTTTTTGCCAAACGGAGAGTTATTTGTAAGGAGGCCTTGAAACCTTCTGTTTCTGGTTTAGTTGCGTCAGCATCACCGACTAATATCCGTATTGTGTCAACATTTATATGTGTTACCTCAAGATAAGTATGTGCCTTATGAAGACTGCAGCCTTGAACTGGAAATGTCCCTGTGCTTCATTGACTAAGAAGATTAGAAACTGATGTTAATCATTGAGGCACAGATCTGTATCTGCAAGGATAAAATATATTCAAATCACTGAAACAAATATATTCCCTAATGCGGTTACTTTCAAATCACAAAACAGCCCAAAGCATTTTACAACTTCATGATAACCAATATGCACAGCAAGCTCTCAAAAACAGCAATGTGGTAGCGATCAAATGATGTGTTTTTGTGATGTTGATGGAAGGACAAATATTGGCTAGAATACTAGTGATATCTCTCCAGTATGTGTTTGATGTAACTAATGCGTTTGATGTTTGATTTACAAATTTGTAAATTGAATATAGCTAAGGCAAGAGAAATATATTAAAAAGTGGCAGCTCACAATGAATATTTGCAACGATCAAGCTCAAAATGGTGCGGGCAAAACTGAATCACATGTAAGCTATTTGAGGGCGGTTCAGTGACTCAGCGGTTAGCACTGCTGCCTCACGGCACCAGGGACCCAGGTTCAATTCCACTCTTGGGAGCCTGTGTCTGTGTGGATTTTGCATGTTCTCCCAGTGTCTGCGTGGGTTTCCTCTGGGAGCTCTGGTCTGTCCCCGCAGTCCAAGTATGTGCACGTTAGGTGAAATCGCTCTGCTGAATACATTCAGAGCTGTACAGCATCCAGAGATGTGCTGGCTAGGTGGATTAGCCATGGGAAATGCAGGGTTATAGGGCAAGGGTGGGTCTGTGTGGGATGCTTCTTGGCAGGTCACTGGGGTCTCAATGGATTGAATGGCCTGCTTCCACACTGTAGGGATTCTATGATTTATTATTACTATCTATAAAGTGCATCACGTAATACTGCATGTACTATATTCTTAATAAATCTATGAATGCTTGACCTCAATGTTCCCAAAAGTAATTCAGGAATAATTATCTAACTGTAACAAGTTCTCATGGATAAAACTGAGAATCATTATGGACAACAGATTGCATTTTTCATTCATTCTTGTTTCTATCGATGAGAACTGCCATTTACTTAAAGACCAAAATAAGACAAATCCTTATTTTCTGGTGGTGCATTTGAACTGCATAAAGGAAGTCTTTGCAGTATTACCTCAAAATCAGAAGCTGCGTCAACAAGAATCTCTCAGAAGTCTTTTTCTTTTTTGGACAAACTTGCTGTTGAAAAAAAAACCCATAAATTTACACTGCAAGTTTCCCAAAAAGGCTGATAATGAAAACCTGCATTTTTTTCAGTCATTTTTCTGAACACAACATGGTGAACTATCAAATAATGAAGCTATAGAAAGATTAATATTACAGCTTTACGTTAAAAAGGCTGGACTTGTATAATTCTAGGTTAATCATGACTGTTGGTCTGTCAGGTTGTGGAGGAAGATCATCTGGTATACGTCTTGAAGCTTTTCACTCAAAATTTATCCATTAAATCCTATAGATAAAATATGGGAGCGTTGGAAGATGAAGTTGGGATTGAACATTTCAGTCTTTCTTCTGGAATAATTGATAGGTTGGCTGACATTTTCCAAGTTTGGAAGCTATTTAATGCATGCCCAACACCTCTCCTTCAAAAGATGTCAGATTCTGTAACTTTTTGCTTTGTATTTGCAAGTTCTGTTTATGGGTGACAACACTCACCTAAAAATAAACAAAATTCGCAAAATACAAGGTATCTAAACAATTTTGTAGCTTCACTTTAATTAAAGTCAAGGTTTTTAAAGAAATTAAAAATTGAAAAATATTAAATTCAGTTTCTTGTGGTTGAGGCCAAACCACACCGCTACCCTTACCCTTGGTGTGAAAAAAATAACTGAGCTAGAATATAAATACGATGCTAAACATTCAATATAAAATAATAAATTTTAATGTTGCTGAAAAGACTGGAAAAAACTTTCAGCTTGGGCATTTTTTGTTGCAAACTATAAATTAAAACTTTTAAATACAAAATATAAATGTAGTGTGCTACATTTGAAATGCTTAGATAGTTTGCAGATCAGTACTGTGCTGTCTTTATAGAAAGTTCACTCAAGTATGTTCCGAAATACATTAAGTATAATAAATTCATTTGCAACTTAACTATATCATATATAAATTGTCTAAATTTATAATCATGTACATTTATCTTGTCAAATCATTAGAACAGGAATGCCAATTGCATAAATAAAATTAACAGCAGCACACATCATGCTTAGCACTGGTCAACATAAACATTAAAACTTCTGCTTTGAAAAGGACTCCAAATTTTAAGTAGGTCAAAGCATGCAATGAATAGTGAAATGTTCAGGAAAAAAATAATGAAAACCTCAAATTTGAATTTGAAAGAAGTCATTTTTCATGCAAGACACAACCAACTAACAGGCACATTATGATTAAGGGAGTTACGCTTTAACCTGGTAACACAGGCAACAATGCTTACTAGGAAACAGAAGAATTCAAGATCCGGCCATTACATTCAGGGTAAAAACATGTTGAGGAGTGGAAGCTTGTGATGACTGTTTATTTTTCTGATTCATCAGTAATAAGACATATTTTAAAAAAAGCCATACTCAAATTCCAAGATCAAAGTGCTGTATTTTGACTATTCACACAGGCAGCACCCTCAAGAATAATTGCATTTAATAGCTTCAGCCAATTAAAGCTTAGCAAAGGTTCTATGGCACAATACCCAGACGTCTTGCATTGAAAGAGTATAAACTATCAAATGATATGCTTTCAGTTCTGTGTACTAGGCTAGTTGACGTACTACATTGAAACTAGTTAAAAATGGAAATTTTTTTGGATGAGTCAATTGAATTCCCACTTTATCTTAATAAACCTTATATTTTAAAGTATGTGGAGCAGATCTACTGGGGCCAAAGAGATGGAAAGTGTGCATGCTTTTTATGTGAATTGTTAAGAATGGAAAAAAAACAATGGAAGCACTCCAAAATTACAGCATTTCCAATTTCTGAGCTGTATTTTATTTTACTGCTTCAATCCTAATGTGAGTGTGCCACAGATGAAGGTTCCTGTCTAAAGTTTTACTACACCGGAGGTACAGAGAACTCATGGGCCACATAATTTGTAAGTTGACAAAACATTTTGTACAATGACGCAACCATGCCAAATCGTACATGAAAGAATGTATTTCCAAAAACTGGTACACATTTTCAAATTATTGCAGGTTTGGTTTAACATTTCAGATAGAGGTTTTCTAATGCTAAAATATTTAGATGTCAAAGTGAAGAGTCTCTTTTTAAATTTTGACACTAACAGCTCTTGGACTGTAATTTCCCTTACGATGGAGGGCACATTGTTGATAAACCACAAGTCCTGTAGCAGTTTGGTTTTCTTCAGATTAAAGCTGTGTCTTGGGACAAATGCAGCAACAAAACACAAACCAGTTGATCAAAATGCACTTCTGCCATAGCTCTGGTAGTCTTCAGGGCCAACCAACAGCAGATCAGCCATTCTCAGTTTTTAAGGTTTACATCACTGCATTTTTTCCTTATTGTGTTACTGTAGAAGCCTAAATTGCATCAAGCCAATTTGCTGACAACTGCTTGGTTGAGCGTGTTAAGCTGATTGGTCCATTTATCTAATGCAGTATACCGAGCCCCGCCTCTTTTCTGATGATCCAATTCAAGCAATTGGTTGACTTGATCAATCCGACCATGGATAGTGCTAGAAATAAAATGAAACGCATTTTTAGTCACTGAAATTGAATACTTTCAAGATTTCTGATTACTTCTTAATGATAACTGTAGTATGTAGCATATTAAATTTTAAACTAATACACTAAATAGTCAATGATCATCACTGGGATATTGATAGTGGGGAATTAAGTGATGGTAATGCTATTGAGGAGTGGCAGATGGAGTTTAATTTGGATAAATGCGAAGTACTGCATTTTGGTAAAACAAACAAGGGTAGGACTTAAACAGTTAATGGTAGGGCCCTGGGTAGTGTTGTCGAACAGAGACCCCTAGGGGTTGAGATATATAGTTCTTTGTAAATTGTGACAGACAGGGTGGTTAAGAAGGCATTTAGCATGTTTGCCTTTATTGCTCAGATCATAGAAATAGGAGTTGCGACCTCTTGTTGACATTGGTGAGGCCAGTTTTGGAGTACTATGTACTGGTTCTGGTCTCCCTGCTGTAGGATTGGAGAAGGTTCAGAAAAATAAAAATTACCAGGATGTTGCTGGGATTGAGGATTTGAGTTACAAGCACAGGCTGGGACTTCTTTCACTGGTGACCTTATAGAGGTTTATAAAATTATGAGGATCTAGATAAGGTGAATAGCAAAGGTTCTTTTCCCAGATTAGGGAAGTTCAAAACTAGGGGCCATAATTTTAAGGTGAGAAGTGAAAGATTTAAAAAGGACATGAGGGGCAATTTTTCACACAGAGGGTTGTTCACGTGTGGAATGAACTGCCAGAGGAAGTGGTAGATGCAGGTACACTTACAACAGTTAAAAGACATCTGGATAGGTTTAGACGGATATGGGCTAAACGCAGGCAAGTGGGACTAGTTTAGTTTGGGAAACTTGTTCGGCATGGATAATTTGAACTGAAGGGTCTATTTTCGTGCTGTATGACTCTATAAATATGTATCAATGACTATGTTAATTTCTGGGGCAATCAGTATGAGTAATTAAAAGGTTACCAAATTGAAAACAGAGAATCATTATCATCCTTTTGTTGTAACTGATAACCTATCGGAATAATGTGTAACACCTCAGGAAAACTCCAAGAAAATAAATACTACCTTGAGTGCGAGTTGTGGCTCAGTTGGTAGCAAATTTGCCTCTGAATTTCGAAATACCTGAGCTCAAATTCCACTCCAGGGCTTGAGCACAAAAAAAAACAAGGCTGACACTCAACCACTGCACTGTCAGACATGTCAACTTTCAGGTGAGACATTAAACCAAGACCATAAATACCTACTTGGTTACCATGAGAGATTCCATGGCAACATTTTGAAGAACAGCAGTGAAATTAAGAGACTTGGTCATTATTTAGCCCCCAATCAAAATCACAAAAATGTTAATCTGGCCATTATCACATTGCTGTCTGTGGGAGTTTGTTGAGCCTTAGCAGAGATTAGCTGTTTTGTTTCCTACATTATAATAGTAATTACACTTGTGGCATGGTGAGAAGCACTATACCAATGCAAATCTTTCTTTTTAAAAAAAATAGTACTTACTTGTCCAGTATGCATTGCACCAACAAGCTCTCTACATCAGCTACATCTATGTTCAACTCCTAGAGATTTAAAAAAGTAATAAATGGGAATAAGAACAATGGAAAATGTAAAATGTTGACAATGAAAATAAATTAGATGTCACTTGAACAAGGAATGTTTAATTTTCTGATTAATTTAAATTTTTGAGTCATACGTGAGCAATTAGAAATTCAAAAGCATTGCAGAGCAAACTCAAAGCACCACTACTGGGGTGGGGGGGGGGGGGGGGTGAAGAATAAGTGAAAAGTATAAAGAGTCAAACAGAGAAATGAAATAGAGTAAATGTGTAGGTAGACTCTAATTCAATTCATTTTATCATATTAATAGCTTCATGGGCTTCCTTTCATCCACCACACAAACATTTCCATCATCATCTCCCAAAGCTGCTTCATGATTATAGCAAGAGTTTATCATTTTATTTTCCACTGCTGCCATTAACTTCATGATCAGTAAGCACTTTCTAAGTCAGGAGGGTGATCTTTCTGGTCTCTTCTCCAGCATTCAATTTCCCAGTTTAGCAATTATTCAGTATTTACACGCCATAGCAACTACAAAATTGGATATCAACCTTCCAGTCTCCAAACAAATATTTTGAATTCAGTTAACATATTTTAAATTGACCCGGGGAAATATATATTGGTCTAATAGAATTCTCTGTCGTCAGAGCTAATGAGTTCAAAGTTTGAATCACTGATGACTGAACGCCAGAGCAGAAGATGTTAAACTAATTTTTTTTCCAAAGGAACATTGAAGTCAAGTGAACAAGCACCAACAGAAAAATGCAATTTCACCTTTGAAATAAAAGGTATATGTATCCTCGTGTAAGGCTTTATTAATTTTATCAGGACTTGTGTTCTGATGTTCCTCAATAACTCTATGAAAAAAAAAAGACTCCGTTATCATCTCAAGTCTCAATTGTTGAAAAGAATACACAGGCATATACTAGGGCAACATAAGTTCATTATTAATGGAATCCAGACTCCTGGACATTTGCTTTAGAGGTTCATGTTACATTGTACAATATTATAATCTACTATAATATGTAAAGTAGATGTACTTTATCCTATACCTTAGTCTCCAAGAGCATATTATATAATGTAGAACAATGTTTCCAACAGTGATAAGGGGAGATTCTCTGCATGTATATGAATTTAAAACAAAAGGAAGATTTGGAATTTACATAGCAGCTGGGCAAATAGATGACAGCAACAGTTCAAGGTGGGCAAGTGCATTGCAATAAGAAATCAAAAATACCGCACACCTGTTAAATTCAAAGCAATATAATGCACTGATCAGAAAAGAAACAAATTAACCTTTATAGCTGTAGGAGATAAACTCAGCAAGTAGTTAGACATTGCCTGGAACTGTGATGGAGGCAGGTTTAATTGAGCCATTCAAGATGGTATTGGATGATTATTTGGATAAAAATATTATGCAAATATATGGGGAAAAAGCAGGAATTGGTACTTGCTAATGATGCTCATTTAATGAGCCAGTGCAGGTATGATGGGCCAAATGACTCCCCTCTTTGCTGTAACACTTTGCTGTAACAGCTGCCACAGAACAATCTTCAATTTTCTAGAACAGTCATCAATGGCTTCTAAGTAAGACTTGCACAAGGAATACAGTGTGTGGGGAAGGGGTATTATTAGGTTAGGATGTCCACTTTCCTTGCAAAGTGGAGCCATGGATATGATCAAACAAAGATGGAAAACACCTTTATAGATGTGTACCTGTTACCAATACCTAGAGTGGGATCCAACCACTTAAAACTGCTCAAACCTTCAAAAAAACCTATAAAACTCCAAATTCAAGGTACCCAGATTTAAGTAAAGCTTAAGCGGTTTACTCATATGTCACCAGATCTTCAGGATCACATTCACCATTGTTGGGCTTTGCTTTTCTGTGCCAAAATCTCATTGCTCGTTTTATAAGGCAAAATAACTCCAGACTTAATTACCACAGTTTTAGATCCTTGTGTAAGGCACTCCAAAAGTACGTGCAAGGATCTCTTTGCCCACAGTATTGAAACCAGTTGTTCAGTTGCCCCTGCTGCATCATCTCTTCCTGCCAACAAATGCAAACACCCTGCGTGCTTTATTTAAATAATAAAGTGGAACAGCAGTTATTGCAGCACAAACATTTTAAAAAAGTAATACTCAAAGACAAGCATTTCATAGCATGGATATCTGAAATATACACATATAAACAATTTGCTTAACAATACCTTCTATGTGCTCCCTTATGAAGGGGTCATCCATGATGTTACTGTGATTGGTTTTCAGAATCTTCTCAAATTCAGTGATGTCATTATTTTGATAGGCACTGAAAAAAAGTACTTTAACTTGAATTTTCTCTCTTCAGAACTTAGAAGTAGATCTTTTATCCTCCCAGTCTGTAGTATTAATACAGTATAATCCAATTATAATGTTTGTCCTAGATAATTACATGAACAAGACTGTTTTTCTCTAAATCAAATGCGTTGAATAATGTTTCATCTATTATAGTGGTTTCAGAATGTTATGTGCAGAATATATAAATTAGCCAGAAGTTGCCAATATCTTGAATTACTTTGCTCAGTTTTACTGACAGAGAAGTTGTAACTTCTAAACTTTAAAATCCTTAAACACATTTGAACCCGATATTTCCTCACACAAGTTTTTTTAACTAGTTGATCAAAACTGATGGGAACATATGTGAATATAAAGATTCAGAATTATACTCATTACACAATGGTTAGAAATGATTGCTTAGTAGTACAGAACCTAAATATTCCTAATAAGAGACATGAAGTCAAAACTTTTAGTCTTGCACTCATTTGGACTGGTATGCAAAGAATCAAACCAAGGGAAATAATTTATCCAGCATGACAAGGTGCTAATTCACTGGCATTGAGATGCAGCAACAACGGTTAACTAAGTTTTGTTTCTTGCATCTCAATCCTAATCAATTCAAATGAAAACTTTTGATTTGGTGTAGCTTTTTAGCAATGTTTAGAGTGGTTTGAGTGGACATCAAATAAGACAGTCAAACCAGGTTACAGGGATCAGCTCAACACAAGTGACTTACACTGCAAAGTGACGCGCTCAAGCAAAAACTGCCAAGTTATCTTCATTTCTAAATGACCATAATTAAACTATTCACTTGTGCTCACTAACAGGACCACTAAAATAAATTCATCAAACCATAGGCAAATACTCTCAAATTAACAATTTAGTAAATATCCCAATCTCAATTATGGCTTTTAAGCCCATTTAAAAGACCATGTCTGTTTTTAGTTTTATGTAAAAATCAGCTACAATTCACTAAACTGAAACAGATGTAACTATACTATTCACAATGTCAGATTTCCTGAACTATAGCCTAAAGCAAAATTATTCCAACTGTTTACAAGATAATATTAATGACTTGGAGGAAGGAAGCAAACATACTGTAGTCAAACATGCACATGACACAAAAATAGGTGGAAAGGCAGTTTGTGAGATTGTTTAAACACAAATATTGATATGTTATGTAAGTAGGCAAAAAGTTGGCAAATGGAGTATAATGTGGGAAAATGTGAAATTGTTCATTTTGGAAGAGAACAAAACAAAAAATATTATTTAGAGAAAAACTGCAGAAAGCTGCAACACATAGAACTCGGGGCTACTTAAAACACACAGAATACTAGCATGCAGGTAATCAGGAAAGCTTATGGAATGTTGGCCCTTACTTTGAGAGGTTGGATTATAACAGCAGGCAAATCTTACTGTAACTGTTCAAGGTGCTAGTGAGACCACATCTGGAGTACTATGTGCAGCTTTGGTCCCCTTATTTCAGAAAAGATGTTATTAAATTTGAGACAGTTCAAAGAAGGTTCACTTGGATGATTCCCAGTATGCAGGGACTGTCTTATGAGTAAAGGTTAAACACATTACCCATGCAATTTAGAAAAATGAGATGATGAATTGAAACATATAGGATTCTTAAGGGGCTTGACAGGTAGACAGAGTCAGAGTCAGACAGCACAGAAACAGACCATTTGGTCCAGCTTGTTTGTGCCGACCAAGTTTCCCCAAACTAAACTAGTCCCACTTCTCTGCATTTGGCTCATATCCCTCTAAACCTTTCCTGTTCATGTATCTATCCAAATGAATTTTAAATGTTGCAACTGTACCTATATCTGCCACTTCCTCTGGCAGACTATTCCACATATGAACCATCCTCCGTGTGAAAAAGTTGCCTCTCAAGTACGTTTAAAATCGTTCTCCTCTCACTTTAAAATTATGGCCCATAGTTTTGAATTCCCCCACCCTAGGGAAGAGACCATTGCTATTCACCTTATTTATGTGCTTCATGATTTGATAAACCTCTAAAATGTCACCCCTCAAACTACTATGCTCCAGTGAAAGAAGTCCCAGCCTATCTAGCCTTTCTTTGTAACTCAAACCCTCCAGTCCCAGCTACATCCTGGCAAATTTCTTGTGAACCCTCTCCAATTTAATAATATCCTTCCTATAGCAGGACGACTAGAACTGTACACATTACTCCAAAAGTGACCTCACCAATGTCCTATACAACTTCAACATGACGTCCCAACTCCCTCATTCAATGGCCTGAGCAATCAAGGCAAGCATGCTAAACATTTTATTAACCACCCTGTCTACCTGTGACACAACTTTCAATGAACTATGCACCTGAATCCTTAGGTCTCTGTGTTCGACAACACTACTCAGGGCCCTACCATTAACTGTGCAAACCCTGCCCTTGTTTGTTTTACCATAATGCAATACCTTGCACGTATCCAAATTAAACTCCATCTGCCAATCCTCAACCCATTAACCCAATTGATCAAGATCCCTTTGTAATCTTAGATAACCTTCTTTAATGTTGACTGTACCACCAATTTTACTGTCATCTGCAAATGGACTAACCATGCCCCTTAATTCTCATCCAAATCGTTCATATAAGTGACAAACAAAGTGACAAAATGGAGCTGGACCCAGCACCAATCCCTGCGGAGCACCGCTGGTCACAGGCATCCAGTCTGAAAAACAACCCTCCACCATTACTATTTGTCCCCTATCTTCAAGCCATTTTAGAATCCAATTGCCTAGCTCTCCCTGAATTCCACCGATGTAACTTTACTAATGCTGAGAGGATGGTAGAGCAGGCTCGAGGGGCTGATCATTCTACTCCTGTTTCTATTTCTAATGGTCTTATTATATTTACATTCTCTACTAAATATTTTTGCTGCAATAATAGTTTCCAGATTGAAACCTTTGAAGTGAAAATTAGTCTTCAATTCCTACTGGAGATGAAGTGCACCGCATCACATTTTGCCCAACTAGAAATCCAATTTCAGGCACTGAATTATACATTTTGGTATGCACAGTTTACTATCCTGTTTTTCAATTTATCAATAAATGGTTGTTTTTATATAGTTTACAATCAACAATCTAGAGAATATCTAGTGTATTAGAATTGTACAATCTTCAACTTTTTAAAAAAAATTGGACAGACTAACTGCCTTGGCCAGTGCAAGCTACTTTGTTTCTACATGATGCCAAATTTTTCTGAACAACCCTTGCAGAATGCAATGGACAAATCTCAAGATAATTAGTAACGAATGCGCAACTGAGTAGTTCAGTAAAATACTGCCAAATTTCACATATTATTTTATTGTTCCAATTCTATGAATTCAGTTCAATATATTGAGGTTAAGGAGATATGGGTTGATACCACTAAATATCAATTTAAGAATGCCAGGACATTTATCATGAAGCAGGGAGAGGGTGCCATATATAATATTGGCACTGTAATCAATTGAGAAACAAACAGATGCTATGAGTGGGAGAAGATATTGAGATCTTTCTTAGCAGATGCAACAAGATCAGTTAAAATAACTTTCTTTCATCATAACTATCTTATGATTAGATGTTTCTTCAAGATATTTTCTCAGACATAAGTTGTTCTTCATGCATTTTCAAGCTCAATAGACTTTACATAATTGCAACAATTTTTGTTTCACCTGATTTTTCCCATGAAATCTTCAATGGCAGATTTGGACAACTTGTGGTTTCCAATATAACAGCAATAAAATAAATTAACTTAATTATTAGCCTGATCAAGAATGCTCCCTCAAATTAAGACAAAAGGAGCACACACAAATTATAAGTCAGGCCTTTCTTCCAAACTTATTTAAACCTTTTATTGTAATTTACATACAGGGGAAAAAAAAAAGTTATACTCCCCTAAACAAAGTAACTTACCTTACTAAATTTGTCATTGCAAGAATCTCTGGATCATTCTTGTATGGTTTGGCCTAAGCAGAACAGAATTAGTAAGCATTGCAATAAAATGCTTAAAAGAAGTGGAAAAAAATGTTAGAATTTAATTGCACAACTTTACCTCCTGAGAGTCAAAAGGATTAATTCCTGACTTCATCAACATATTAGCCAAAACCAAATATTTCAGGCAGGTGGTACGTCTAGGGCTTCCTGATTCATCATAATTCTTGAACGCCTCAAAGAAATCAGTATGTGCCTTTTCGAATTCACCTTCTCTTAAGTGCATCTTACCTCCACATTCTGCAACAAATCAGATACAATTTTAATGCCATCAGTGAAAATTTTAATTGAAGTTTTCTGTGTTGGACTTAAATTCAGGTCTTATGGGTGAAAAATCAATAAGTATTTAGAAGGATGATCTAATTCTGACAGTTATAACTCTCAAAATGTATGCTCTTGATGTATTGCTCACTTTATTATCTTCATAGCAATTTTCATAGTATCCACCCTAGTCGGTGCCCCTGTTGCCACCCACTGGACATTGTGTTTTGTTGCAGTGGCAATGACATACACATTCTTTCACTACCAATCCCAACAATTCACTTTAAACAAAACCTGTGATACACAATTAGATGCTGGAAGATCTGCTCTGCTCCATTTAAGTTACAAAGTGAACATAACAGGTGCAGCGTAATGAGATTCCAGTGAAGAACAGAACTTAAACTGTTCATTCATATATATAAGCTGGTTTTAGATTGCACTGGTAGAATCTCTAGGAGCAGACTGTATGCATGCCTAATTGGAGAGTTACTGTCTATTAATAACAAAGTAAAGACCTGAAATTCTCTGTCCCAGAAGGTGCTGGAACAAAATCAGTGATCTTAAAAAGGAAATTGGATGGACACCAGAAGAAAATTAGCCTGCAGAGTTACAGGGATCAAGCAGGTGATTGGGCTAACAGGATTTCTCTGGACAGCACCAGCATAGAATCGACAGGCTCAATAACCTCCTACCGTGTCACAGGTGATTCTATAATACCCATGCAGAATGCTGACAGCACAACAAAAAGTAATGCTGTTTCTTTCTGACCTCCACCTAAGTTGCTTTCATCAAATAATGAATCCAATGATTGACCTCAGGAGCTATGTAGGTCAAATGCCCAAAGGTAAAATGGAAGCACTGAGCTTAAGAGGAGCTAAGCATCACAACCATATTTTAGTTTGTGGCTAACGTATCGTAGGAGATCAGAATTTTTCAAAAAAAAATAAAACATTTGAAAGCCACCATCAGAGTTTGGAAAAAGCCCCAAAAATTTCAACTAAAGAAAAATTTAGAAAAGTAAATGCCCTCAAGTCTGAAAATTTCCCTGAGCATTTAATTTTTAAGGGACCTTAGGTTCTGCTTATCTACAGAAATTAGATACAATGCCTTTTAAAAATGATAAACAAATCATTCACCTTAGCATCAGAAGCAGAGCACAGGCATCTCACATGGACCTGATTTTGCTTGAACAGCACAGGAGATCTGCTAGCATATAAAATCTGGCTAAAAACCAAAATCCCTTTCAAAAATCTAGATGTATAATTGGTTTAATGATTTATTAATATCTTTTGTAAGTACATTTTGTGCAACATTTCACTAAATAACAAAAGAAAACAAAGTCAATGTGCAAATATCCAGGAAATAGCAGATTAACGTACTTAGTATTTGAACAAAATACCATGGATTAATTTCAATAATTTTATTACTTCAATTCTCACCTCTAATAACTCCCATGATAAGTGGATGAGGGATGGCAGATTTAATGTGTAAAGACTGTTCATACAGTGCTTTCAATTTCTTGTTGTTCTTTTGTGCAGTATACATCTGGATCTCAAGGGCATAAATTTCTAATAGTTGTGTTCCTTTCTTCAAATCATCCTCACCATCATCAGTCTATAAAATACCAAAAACAATTTTGGAAAATACATAGGAATTTATTATATCAAATTAATCGAAAGCAAGAGATTGTGTAAAATAGATTGGCAACCCTGCAATTGAATAGGTTTTGCTAATTATTTGCATGTTATTTTTTATTTATTAATTACCAAAAGATCTCCTCTTCCACTATTCTCTAAATTACACGATTTTATTTTAAAAGGAGGAAAAAGCTATTGCACTGTCAACTGGAAGATATGCATAAAGTAGATTATGGCTTTGAAGGGTAAAATATGCAATTCCGACAGAATAAATATATTTTGGTTCACATAAGCGTAAATTGAAAATCTGTTAATAGAAAATTAGTCAATGAATGCAAAGAACAAAATTGCTTTGAATTGCAATGAGGTAGCAAATGTGCATAATTATAAGGGCTGCGAAGATGAGCGTTTAATGTTCATGTTGTTGGGAAGGGAGACTGGAGCGTGGGAGGAACAGAGAAGCGTTGACATTTATATGTATTGTGAATAATGTGAGGTTTTACATGATGGCTAAGTTTTAGCTCAAGTTCAAAAGTGCAGGTGGCAGTGTGTTAGGTATATAGTGTGTTAAGTGTTACAGATTCTTAAACAGCCTGATGAATAAACCCCAAATACAGAGAAAGAACATTAGAGAGAATGTCAGAATGAGTCAACAAGTGCAGTGAGGGGCACAACACCAAACTGAGGAAGCAGACACATGCTAGGGCAACAGGGAGCAATGGCATGCAGGGGAGGTGGTGCAGGTGCACACAGGAAGGGTGAGATGACACATCAAGCATGCAACAGAGGGAGTTTGCAAGTGCAATAGAGAAAGCCAGCAAGGAAGAGGGTAAGAGAAAGAGGGTGTTTGAACAAGGAACAGATTGGTCCATACCATAGCACTGTGTGTAGTTTTAGGTATCCTGTTATAGAATGGGAATTAAATACATAGAGACTGTACAGCATGGGTTCATCTGAATTATATCAGGGTGGAAATCTTTAAGTATCAGGTGAAACATGTAACTATTTTGACTGCGTTAGAGATAGGTAAGATTTAACTCCAGTTTTAATCAAATTAAGCTTTCATTACCTAAATGTAGGAAGGTTATTTCCTGAGAGTGGGGTGTCGGTGCCTACTGAGGTCATCAATTTAAAATTTTTGTTTTTAAACATGGAAAACCCTTGTGACAATCCAATACACCCTTCAGTGTCTTATTCAGGCATAAATCAATGTAGCTTTTAAGATAAAATTGGATACATGTTTGAAGGAGAGAAAGATAAAGTGTCAGGGGTCGAGATTAAAGCTGGAGGATTAATTTTAGATTGTTTTAGGTGAAGGATACTCTTCTAAGCTGTACACCACAGTCAAAAAGAATACAGTGGCAACAAGTCTTTAGTAATTCAAGACCAGTTGTGAACTTTGATATTGTCCTACCTTAAATACAACTTTGTACTTCACCTATTGCTGAAATATTGTAAACTTAAATGATGTCAACACAGTAAAATATAATACACTTTATAGATTGTACAAGATAAAGGTCTCACAGATATGTTTCTAATACTGTTTACATGTCATTTTACAAAATCTGTTCAAGGTACAACTAAGCTTTCAAGGTGACGAACTGTCTGCTTTGACTTTTACTTCAGAGTCTGACATTTGAGAGTTCATGCCCTGCTCTGGAGACCTGCATACAGAATAATTTAGTTTGGCAGCTCTGTGACACTTTTCAGATGACATTAAAATCCAAACTGTCAATTTGGAAAATTTACAACGTTAGCAATTAATTTAGACATTGGTATTATATTGATTGTTAGGTAAGTGAATCATTTTTAAAATCAGAAATTCTGCACAAGAAAGGAGAAGAAAATATTTAAGCTTAAAATCTGTAGCATTGAGTACACAGATGGTAAATTATTTGCAACAAAAGATAAAAACAACAGTTCTCTTTCTCACTTCTAATAAAGGGAATCAAAATTAGCCATAAAAAAATTCTTGAGGGCATCTGATTCATAATAGCACTTAGATTTTTGCCTATAACCATGTGTAGGTTCATACCCAAGGTTTTCAATTTGGCTAGCTCCCAGTACTGGATATATTTATTAGCCTAGAAGAAGTCACCTGAAGTCAGTGTTGCATCACTCAGTGGCCAGTCATGAGTTTAATTTTACATAGGAACATAGGATTTAGGAGTGGGAGTAGGCAATTCAGCCCTTTGAGCCTGCTCTGCCATTTAATATGATCATGGCTGATCTTATCCTGGTCTCAACTCCATTTTCCTACCTGCTCCCCATAGCCCTTTACCCCGCCTCTTCATCGGAAACATATCTATTCCTTTCTTGAATCTGTTGATTGATTCTGCCTCCACTACACTCTGTGGCAGTAAGTTCCACAGATTCACAACCCTCTGAGAGGGTAGCAGTTTCTCCTCATCTCAGTTTTGAACTGACCTTGTCTCACTCTATATCTACACCCTCGTTTGAGACTGGCCCACAAGGGGGAACGTCGGTTCCACTTCCACCTTATCAAGCCCCTTTTGCATTTTATATACCTCAATTAGATGTTCCCCCTGCCCCCCCCCCAACTCATTCTTCTG